CCCGGTCGTAGCGTCGTTCGCTTCGCGCTTCCGTCAATCACGTCGCGCGAAAATACAGCGCGAAACCTGACACGATACATGGGCGCAGCCAGGGCGCTTCTCCCAATATCGAAATCGGAAGCTAAAATAGACCTCGCGAGAATTCGAGACCGCGAGGGAGAGGGGGGGAGGGGCCGTCGAAAATTGGAGCTCCCGGGAGGAGAGAAAAATTCTCTCTCTCGAAGTCAGATGAAGCGAATCGCCGCGAATGCCGACGCACGCGGCCGGCCGTAAATCATTCCCTGGCGCGAATCCACGGCTATCGGCTACCGGGAGGACTCTGCCGAGAGCGCCGGGCGAAACGCCGGAATCTAATTCCGGCCTTGGAGCGCGCGAAGCGAATATAGCGGCCATCCGCGTTGGTTGACGCGCTGAACGCCGGCGATCCCGACGTTTGATTCATCGCCCGGGCCATGAATAATGACGTCGACGAGCGGCGACTTCATTCAATCGACGAGAGCGTTCGCGCGCGAATCATCTATCGCGCGTCCCGGCGCGCCGCCGCGCCGACGGATAAGACGAAGAAAGTCGTGCGGGAAAGACGCCCGCGAAGGAGGCCCCGCGCGATAGCACTTTATCGTCCAACGATAGGAAGGCGCGCGAGCCCGTCTGATCGAATCGACGCAGCTTCGACGTGACCGTGGGTTGATAAAAGCCGTTTGTCTGCGCGCGGAAGAAGTTACCACGTGCGCACGTGGCCGAATACCGACCGAAGAGTGGAAACGCGGCGCGTCACGTCGCGATGCGCGACGCGACAAATGTGATGATGCGATGCACGCGCGTGCGTGCGTGCGTGCTTGCGTGCTGTGTGCGTGCGTGCGTGCGTGCGTGCGTGCGTGCGTGCGTGCGTGCGCGCGCGCGCACGCGACGCGAAAGCTGTAATAATGCGAATAGCGCGCCGTCGGAACTACGCGAAATTACGCGAAATCGGTGCGTTCGTGCCTCCGTGCCGTGAAATTAGTTTCATCGAAATGCGTCGGTGTTGCCTCGCACACGCACAGTCGTCGCGCGTTATATTCGCGAGGTGTCCGGGGGTAACGAGTAGGATTAAACGAAGCCAGGTGATCCGAGCGAAATTTCTCGCGATAATTACTCGAAAAAAAGAAGAACAAATCCGGATATTAATCGCGTTACGTACGCGAACGCGCGACGCCCATAATTCCAACGTGCGATTCTCCGCGGGATCGATACCTTCCGCGCCGCGAGTTTGCAGCGCCGAAATCGTAGCGGATTTAAACGTTAGCGAGTTCGTTTCAACCGTGTTTCTCTCTTCTTTTTGCAAAATCGCGCGAACACGCCTCGTGCAACGATACCCGCGTGCATAATATCTCGAGCCGAGGTTCGATCGCATTTCGAGCCGAACGCGAGGAACGCGGAGAGGAGGGGAAGTCAAAAGAGACGAAGATCGTGGAACAGCGCGGAAATACGGAAACCTCGGGCGCATTTTCTTTTTTTTTCTTTTTGCAAATTTATCTGAAAACACCGCGAGCGCACAGAGAGTGCAGTTTCGCACATGTTGTTTCGCGTATTGTCGTGTATACGTGCGTGCGGTGAAATATAAGTAGAATGGAGTTAGAAGCGCGGCCGCTCACTCGCTCGCTCGCTCGCTCGCTCGTCGACAAAAGCCATTGGACGCCAACGGCGCGGAATGAACGCGTTGCACTATTGGATACTGTTGCGTCGGTGTAATCGAATATTATTCATAAAATGTGCGGAAGCTACAGCATGCTGCAGCATAAACACGACTAAAAGCACGGGCGCTCTCTCTCTCTCTCTCTCCCTCTCTCTCTCTCTCTCTCTCTCTCTCTCTCTCTCTCTCTCTCTCTCTCACTCACTCTCTCTCTCTCTCTCTGCTCGCAAGCCGAGCGTGACGTTTACGTAAACATATTTCGCGATGTTTCTCTGCGCGTAATACGCGCGCAGCTCTGCTTTCCTCGAGGGGGGGAGGGAAGGGGGGAGGGGGGATTATGAAGGCGACTTCGCCGTTCGGCTTTTTCAATGGGCTTTTCTCCGACTAGATGGAAATTGTTCGCCGGTGACGAAAGAACAAGAAGAACAAAGGAAAAAGGGGCGTCGCGAAGTTCTCGCGGACATTAACATCCGCGATTTACCATCGATTCGGAAAAAAAGAATAACTAAAGCCTGCGTTGCGACTTTTACGCGGCTTCGTGTCTGCTTTGTATTGTTAAAAGCACAGCCTGGCTGAATGAGAAGCACGCTTCTCGAATCAAGCCGGTGTATCACAAAGAGTGACGATATTAAAAAAAAGCACTCGCGCGCCAATGATTGAATGATTAGATTCGGCGATGACGAAACACTTCAATGTTGCTTAATTAATTTTCCAAATGGGGCGAGTGCGCCTTCTTTCGCACGGCAGCAATTCAATCGAGCAGCGTCAATTACCGTGGCTGCGCTAAATCCGCGCGCACGCAGCTGAACTGCGCACGTGCACCTTCGTAAGAGGTCTATATCGGGAAGTCGAGTTAGCGCGACGCCGTTTAAATCGCCATCTTGAAATTCTCGAGCGATTCGATCGCTCGAAGCTGTTCGATTGTTACTCGAGGTAACCTCGAAACCTCGAAAGGCTCAAAGAGATGTTGACGAATAAATTATACAGATATATGTATGAGAAGAAACAATATATGAATTAGAATTATTATATATGTATAAAATAGCGCTGTAAATCTTCGAAAATTCGAAAGGGACTCGGCTTTCGGAAATATCTCGAGTATGATATCCCAAACAATGTGAGCTATGCAAAGTACAGCAAAGTGTCTTATGCCCGTATTCATAATCAGGCCTGATATTTTAGGCCTCCTTATATCCATCTTTAGACGCTGCACGGATTATTTTATTGGCTACAGACCATCTGAAGATAAACTTAAGGAAACCTTGAATATAAAGCCTGACTATGAATACGGGCATTAGTGTCTCCATCGCTAGTAGCATTACAAAGGGGGAAGAAAGGAGAAAGTAGGGTGAGAGAAAGGGAGGGGGGAAAGAGAGAAAGAGAGAGAGAGAGAGAGAGAGAGAAAGAGAGAGAAAATACACATGATAAAGAGAGCGCTCGCTCTTCCGTTATCGCTATTTCTCTCCTTCCCTCGCGGGCTGATAACCTCACTCGCTCTACAGACAATCGCGAATCGATGCTTTATTTCTCTCTCCGTCTCGCTTTCTCTCAACCGCTCACCCATTCACTCTCTCGCTTCTCCTTTCCCAACCCAACGATATAGCATTCCGACATAGCTACATCCTTTCCTTTTCCCATGCGTTCATGCGTGCATTCAGCTGTCACTCTCACTTCCCCACCCCCCTCGCCCACGCACCACTTCGCATTCTCTCTATTTATCCGCCGAACGCCCGTCTCAGGACAGGACGAGATTCGCAATTGAATATCATTCTGGACTGTATTCTCACCCGTTCATACTGCCGTCAGCTCCCAGCGTCGACGGGACGGCGCGTATCTCGGAGGCAGTTGAGAGGTTAGGTCGGACCGCCACACGTCGGCTGCCGCACGTCGTTGTTCGCCGTTCAGCACAGCTGCGTATCGGCGTAAAGGAGTGCGCTGCGCGAGAAAACAACAGGTTGCATGTACTATTACCGCTGGCAGTCGTCGTCGTCTCTTGTCGACCGATAGGCGCGAGTATGGCGGACGAGGACGTGCGAACGACCGACTGTCGCGACGACGACAATTAACACGCCGAGTAAACCGGCCGAAACCCGACGCGACGAGACACCGACGAGAGCGCAAGACTCGGCCGCACGATGCTCGTCTCTCTCTCTCTCTCTCTCTCTCTCTTTCTCTATCTCTCTTCCTCTCTCGGCCCCTCTTTTTTCTCTCTCTCTCTCTCTCTCTCGCTCGCTCGCTCGCTCCTCCGTTCCTCCAACGTTCTCTCTCGCGCTCGCTCCTGTACGCGCAGATATTACCTAGCGAACCGTTTCCGTCGCCTGCACCGAGCCGCGTGCACGCGCGAGAAAGGAGCGGCTGCGTCTGCGGCGAGACACCGCGATTTCGACTCGGATTTGGACGCGGACGTACGACGATGGCTGCGGTCGCGTCGATGGCCTCTCGCGCGATGATGCAGCTGGCCGCGAGGTACAACGGGAGCGAGAGGTACACGATCGCGCGATATCACCGGCACTCCCGGGGGCAGAGGGGAAATCTCTCACTACGGAACGAGACGCGCGAGTCACACGGAACGTAACGAACGTAGTCGCTTACGGGCTGCGCCGGCTGCAAGATGCATCGTCGCATACGAGGCACGTTATTTCGCGCAGCGTGTCGCCACCTGGCGGCGGATGGCCGGGAGTAGCTCGCGTCGCTGCGCGCGCGATTTTATGAAATCAACAGCGGAAAGCGTGCGTGTTGCGTGAGTAGTGGACTGATGCTGATGTTAAATTTCAGACATTGCGTTACGGTTCGACAGGTGGACACGTGCGCGTGCGATCGTAAGAGGCTAAGAACGCACACTTGCACCTGGGTTCCGTTGACTTCTCAACGGCCTCTGTTCTACCTACGGCTGATAAATCATTGTGACTCGGCATATCGAAAAACGGACCAACGATGAAATCTCGTATCCGCGTTTTCTACTGCATCGACGAGGGTAATCTGACGGTGACGGATAAGATCCAAAGTTAGCTGGAAAATCGTCCGTCGCGATACTTTCAGATTCTACTCGCTTGAACTCGCCTGAAGATCGCCTTGGTCACTAAAAATATCTCACTGTTGTTACTGATGAATGAGACGATCTGCTAAATTAGCGACTTACAAGTCACTTGGACTGAGAAGCTTGTTGGGCGAGTAACAAGATGTCTCTGCACTTGCTTCTGTTAGAACCAATCTTTTTTATTACGAAATCAATCAAGTCGGAATCACTCAAAGAGTACTTTGAAACAGACCGGTGCACGTTTGTTCACGTTAATATAATTAATATTAATTAATTAACGTAAACTCTCCCTAGGCATGCATTTATAAAGAAATACATCTTATTTCCTTGCATCTTATTCCTGGATTCCCTAAGAAACTCGTTAAAATCGGCGGAGGTTCCTCGCAGAATTCGGTCAGAACTTGTCACAGAGAGTTAGTCGATCGCAGTTCTTCACGTCCACCAGCACTTTTCTACCCGACTCGACCATGTAGTGATCGAACGCCTCATCGACGCGATGGAGGCCGAAGATCGCTGACGCTCGAGGATGAATCGTGCGTGCCGCTCGGTAGTCCAACAGCTGCTGCATGGTCTCCCTGTCGGGAAATGTCGTAGACCGGCTGATCAGTCGAGTACGCGAGACGCGAACCTCGCGTCTCCAATCTCGCCCCTGCTACATTGAATTCACGTCAACCTGTAGACCAATGGGTCGGCAAGTTTGTAGTGCTCCGCAGCGACCGCGAATACCGTGTAGTTGGACAACGCGAGGTTCAAATCGGAGCGCCGTTTGTCCCGAGCGTAACCGAGGAAAGCAACTAGACCGTCGTGCTCCAGGCTGGAAGCAGAAATGTGCAACGTAACATTAGAAGTGTCGCAAGGGGCTTTCGCATTCGTCGTTTTCTTTCGTAATCGATAAAAAGTCATCGTTAATCCGGGACGAAAGCAAAAGCGCACATTTCTCGCGACTCGCGAGGCCCGCGGGGAAACCCGCGCTTCCTGCGCTTTCTTAATAAACTTCTTTCTTGATAATAACTTCTTTCTTTCTTAATAAACTAGATATCACAATACGGATCCTCGCGACATTTTCCAACTTGACTTTCCGAGTACACTGATAGAAAAATATAGTTGAATTAACTATAATCTCACTATATTTTATGGTTCATTTTGGCGTCAACCATATTTTTATGGTTCGTGGAAACCTGCAAAATATAGTAGAATAAACACAAATATATAGTCAATGATTGTCTTAAATAATTGTTTAATTACTTCAACCACATATATGGTAATTTCTCATTCACAAATATAGTGAGATTTAATGTTCATATAGTTGCATCTGTCATCATTTAGCAAATATTCTGGTAATATTGACTATATAAAAGAGTTACTTTTACCTACCGTTTTATATTTGCATCCATACAGCAATTTTAGTTTAACTTACTATAATTCTTAGTAAAAATATTATATGGTTGGTTATACTATGCCTATATCGTAATTATTACCGATATTATGGTAATACTTACTATAAATATGATATTTCGGACTATAATTTAGTTATTATAGTTCCAAATATCATATACTTTTCTCTCAGTGTACGATCTCACCTCTTCGCGATCTCCCGGAAATATGGCCCGGAAATATGGCCGCCTTCGGTCTCGATCAGGACGCGCACTCCTCGCCCTCCGTTTATTTTTCTCAGCAAGCACCGTTCGTCCTCGTCCTCAAACACGACCATGGCGCCGAGATCGCTGCACAATTCAGCTTGTCTCGCGTCGCTGCATACTGCGATCGGCTGAAACGCGAGAAGTCTTCATCTCTGAGCTTGTCTTTCTCGAGAAGGTCATTCGCGAGAATGACGAAAATTGCAAAACGCTTCGAATACATCGAGGTCTTTGCAATCCGCAAAATTTTCACCACGACATTGCAACATTGCAACATGTCGCAACTGTATCGCGAAATCGATGAGATGACCCAAGTCCCCGGAGATTTCGCGACTTGCAAAGTTACCTTCGCCCCGAACACGTGAACGGCGAGATCGATGGCGGCCAACGCGGAGGGCGAGTGCCTCGCGTTAACGAGAAGGCACTCACCGCTCCGGATACGAGCTCGACGTCCTATCGCCAACAGCGCCGAGAAATAATCATCGGCGAAGGCCACCGCATCCTTCAGCGACACTCGTCTCGCCAACCTAAACACGTCCTAACATTTACCAGCCGGTTATTTTCGGAACTTGGCGAGATCCGAGATTGGAATCGCGCGTATTCGTCGTGGAAGTCGTCGAAGTCATCAATCTGTCCGCGGAGTCGTCGCTCAGGCACGAGAGAGAAAACGCGCTAACGAAGAGGTGCCGCGCCATCGCGCGCGCGCGAGAGAGCTAATTGCATTAATGACGCTTCTGGAGAAATGTCCTACTTCGTAATGCGCAAGGCAGCTCTCCGCGAGGCCGCCGCAGATGGGATAATTGTGCACGACGACTTCCTCGCCCACCTGGTAGCCTGTCCGCTCGTGTGCTAGTCCGCCCATTTCCAAGATCGCGCCGGACACCTCGAAGCCAAGGACCATACCCGGCTCCGGGAGCCTGCGGTGCTCACCGCTCCACAGGAGCACGTCGCTCGCGGTCAGTCCGCAGAAACGCACGTCCACGCGCACCTTTCGAAACATTCGACGAATTTGCCGAGGTGAGGGTAGCGAGCACGAGAGCGACAAGGAGAGCGAACGCGAACGCGCGCTTAAGCGGAGAGAAAGTATCTATCAGCGGATTTCAGTCAGGCGACTTTTAACCTTCGCGCACAGCCGCGAATCGATTCTAAGTGAAAGCGACTTGCCCGCAAAGTGCAGCCTGAATGAACTTCCACGATTAGACCTCGACGGCGTGACGTTCAAAATGCCAATGCAGCGCCAAAGTTCACCGAGAGAAAGAGCCATCGAGAGAGAGAGAGAGAGAGAGACAGAGAGAGAGAGAGAGAGAGAGAGAGAGAGAGAGAGAAAGAGAGACTCTCCCCTAGAGGGAGAGTGAGATCGACACGCTGCGTCTCGCTGATGCATTATCTCGTCCGCGTGAAAATGTTCATTCCGCGATACGGGAAGTAGCAAGGTCGGATCTGGACAGACCTGACGGGAAGGAAGCCATGAAAGTCGAATGAGGTGAGGAATGCCCTGAACCGAGTCTGTCGCGTAGACAAGGAAGCGAGTTGTTGTCGCGCGACGAGACGATCGATCGGCTAGCCACGCTAGCCTCCTAGTCTCTCCTTTCAAAGAACCTGTGTCGGCAGGACCGCCAGCTCGGGGATGTACTCCAATTTGAGGTTGCGAGGCCCGTGCAACACCACGGCGCGTAGAGTCCTTCCGGTCGGCGCGTTCCGCGCCGGCTCCATTAGCCTCTTGAACATTTCCAGACACGCGGCCGGATTAATGAGCTTGTCGTATCGCATAAATAACTCGTGACTTCTGCCGACCATGACTCGCGGTTCAACGAGCAGCTTCATAATTCATAACCTATGCCACGAGTCGGACGATTTCTCACAGCTACCCGAGGTCATCGTCTCCTCCTCTCTCTCTCCCCCCTGTCCCCCCGTTTCTCTCCTCTTCGATTGTTCCTTCTTGAAGAAGTAGCGCACACTTTGGGACCCTTGAAAGATCCGAGGTGAAGGAGAAAGAAGGAAAGAACAAAAAGTAATACAAGTAAGACGTAGAAACTGCAGAGAGAGAGAGAGAGAGAGAGAGAGAGAGAGAGAAAAAATAGGACTTTCCTCTCTTTCCCACCAAGTCTCAATTATATATTCGTTTCTCAAGTTTGCAAGAGCAGCCCCTCTCTATCTTTCTCGAGCCGAACGGGAAAAAACGGACGTGTCGATCGATAGCCCACATTCGGTCGCATCGCACGCTACACCCTGACGTTGGCACATGATCCGTCATTGGCCGGCGTAATTGGTCGTGCTTCTCGTGCGACCTCCAACCACACGAAGGCCGCGAAGGCGACGAACGAGCGGTCGCGCGAGGAGCCGAAGAGAGCCCTTGGCTCGGCCTCGGTGTAGGGCGGGTTCTAGCACTCGTTCGACCTTCTACCTGCTTCTAAGATCCCCATAAGGTTGTTTATCTATTCGCTGCTTTTGGCATTTATCTCGCGCGTTTGTCCCAAGCTAGACTCGCGCGTGCCACGGCACACACGAGCGATCGAAGCGGCGGCGGCGGCGGAGATGCTGACGGAGGGGCAGGTGGGGAGGGACGACGTTTAAGCTCACATCGTCATAACTCACGCCTACTCGTTTCCTGTTCCCTGTATCGCACCACCGCGCGCTACGCCGCCTCACTCTCACCGAGATGTTCTCCTGATCATGTGAGGCCAAATTGACGCTATCCAGACGCGGCCGACACGTGGGACTTTGAACCCGATCGCCCTTTCGAGGTCTTCCCCGTCGCGCCCGTCTTATATGCTCCTAATCACGTGCGTCAGTCGGTTCAGTTCCTTCCGCTTGTAAAAACTCGCGCGAGCCACTTGTAAGTGCCATTCGTCCGTCCGTTCGTTCGTTCGTTCGTTCGTTCGTCCGTTCGCTCGTTCGTTCGTCCGTTCGCTCGTTCGTTCGTTTTCTCCGCAAACGTCAGAGTCGACGATGAAATTACACGCTGACGACATACAACCGGCCGCGGCTCCGATAGCGTTTCCGCGAGGACCATGTGCGCGAAGGCGGTGGTACATGCGGGATTCGCTCATGGGGGTAGATGGAGGGGCGGGGGGGAGGGAGGGGGTAAGTAGGTAAAAGTGCACCGCCGACTTGGACGACTCTCTCTTCCTCTCTCCCTCTTTCCATACGTCTCCTCCGCTCTTCCGAGAGGACCGCCATGCTTTTTATAGTATCCTTGGAGGCCAGGACGAAATTCATTGGAACCTGCTCAACCGTAACTAATTGCTAGCGAAATCGCGGCATGGTCTGCGCCGCGCGGCATGGTCGCGTCAGCTCCGGCGCGACCATGGCGGAGACGGGCCGCGTTCATGATACCCTGGTGGGGTGCAGTCTGACTTGGGTATCAAATGGCCGCCGATGGTAGGACCGGTGACGAAGCGAAACGACCAACCCGGCTCGTCACCTCGCGTTATAGCGCAGGCTGAGAGCCACGATGGCACCGCGATGGACGCTTAAAACTTAAGGCTGACGGAACGGGCCGGACGCGTCGCCGCGCGGACGTCGCTCGTCGGCGGCGGAGTCGCGCGGATTCGACGACGGCTTGCTCCGACGACGAAGAAGCTGAGCGTTGTTTTTAGGGGGACTCTCCCCCCGTCAGAGTCCCACGACGGGAGAAGTCGCGACGTCATCTTCGAGGCGAGCGCCTCGTCGCGGATGTCCTCCGTGCTTTCGTGCACTCCTGATCAGCCGGCAGTCCCACTTTCTTTCAAAGCCGCTGGAGCGGCAAATCTTTTTACCCTGCGGGGGATTAACAAAGGGCGGCCGATTAGGCACTCATGAGCGATCCTGAGACCTGATGCGTTCCCGATCTTTCTGGAAGCGTCTTCAGGGACGAGTCGCACCCTTCGTGCCGCACGCTCTCGCCTCCTCCTGCGCTGAGGAGCGCGCGCGACGCCGCTCAACAACGGAATTAGGTTCCAGTCTTTAAGCGCTCGACGCGCATGCTTTATTTGTTGCACGTGTGCCGTACCCGCTCGATGTTGTTATTGTTGTTGTTCGTTGTTGTTGTTATATCTGAATTATCGCGGTTGTGAGTTACATCTGCGATCGCGACTGCGTTTCGCATGAGACGAGAGGAGATCGAACTTGGTCGATATCTTTCTTCTCTCTCTCTCTCTCTCTCTCTCTGTCTCTCTCTGTCTCTCTGTCTCTCTCTCTCTCTCTCTCTCTTTCTCGGTGAGGCAGAAGTCGCACGAGGATCTTCTTAGACGGACAATAATCAACGCAACATGAGCGTTCCTGCGAACGGAAATAAACTTGCACTTTGGGAAATGCGAGAGTGACGAAAGGAGAAGTTTTGACGACTCGCGCGCGCGCGCGCGATCTTGCGAAATCACGCACGAATCTTCGCGCGCTCGCGCGAAGGAGTGGCTCCTGAGGGATAAATCCACTCCGCTCGGCTCTATACTCCCCTGGTCGCAGGTGTTTCGTATTACACGTGGCCGTAATCCCTGGAACACCCTGGACGACGAGCGCGAGACGTTAGCGGCGCGCACCGCTACACCGTCGTCGTCGTCGTCGCCGCGGCCGCGATCGCGATCGCCGCGGAATCTCGTTCATAATTGGGGCCGACGTTCATGTAAAATTAGCATATTAATAAGAAAGTCGGCGACAGCGGCCAGGATAGTAGGATGAAACCGCAGGAGAACCTTCCGCCGTGGTTCCTGGCCGCCGGCAGCCGAAGATCCTTCGAGCCTCCTCAGACGCTCTGCATCCCTGATGGCCGAGTCTCCGCATTTAGAACTCAATGGAGCGAAACTAATTGCTGTCATTATGACCACGCCGCCGTGAACACCCGGCCGGAGCGGCGCGACGCGACGCGACGCGGCGCGGCGCGGCGCAGCGAACGCGAAGAGTCACGACTCGCGCGCGAGCGCAGCCGAAGAAATCGGACCGTGACAGCCCGACATGTTTGTCGCTTTCGCGACGTGCGTGACGTCACTTCACCCTAGCCGGCAAAAGTTATATCGTCGCTCATTTTTATCCTCGATATTCGCAAATTCGCCTCCCCTCGCTCAACCTCGGCAAATAACCGAGTAGTTCTTCTCGGAGTCAGAGAGAAGTTTGCGTCGGTGCACTTTATGCACGAGAGACGACGCGCTTGATATTCGCCAACGGACGGGGAAGGACGTCAGGCGGTGCAGCGTGCAAAGTGACACGGAGGGAGTGATTTCGGAGGAATGCAAAAGGCCGGCCTTTTCCATCGGCAGACTCCGCGACGATGATGGTCTCCTGTTAGCGCGGATATCACTTTTCATTTTTTTCATATCTCATCGCCGAGTTTCTGTGGTTTGAGATGGAATGTAGAGTGGACGGAATCAATGACCCCTTTTACGAGGCCCTACGAACCCTCGTCGGCGTCGTTGTTGTCCTTCTTGCCGCGGCGAGATCAATGAGGAGGTCCGCTGCGCGTTGCGCGCACGATTATTACAGCTTTCGGCGCCACGTCCACGGGTCTCTCGTTACTTTTCTTCTGCCAATATTTACGACGCTTTATTTACGCATACTTGCATATTGTATACATTTTTGAGGGAGCGGTTGTAAAATGATCGGGAGGAACACCTTGCGACTCGATTTCTCGCTCGTATGCTGAACATTCATCGTACGGGACGGAGCGCTAAGACTGGCCGTGGCTTTACAATAATGCGTGAGTGACGCCGAATATGCGACACACCCAAAGCAAATCCGAGGTGTGTCTTCAACGTACCCTCGAGAGAGCACGTCGGCACTCGGCAGCCGGGCATCCTTCCGCGAAGGGCTGCGACCCTGATCTACCGTGTATCGCGATTCGCTCTCCGGCTCTCGTTCGCGAGCGTTCTTTCGCTTTTACATAACAATCTCCGGCGAAACCGCCTGCCTGTCCCTCCCGCCGGCGCGCAGCTTCGTGTCGAGATAAGTTCCTGGTGAAGGATGTATCGCAATAACCTGAACCTGTCCTTCGCGCTTAATATCTCTCCGTCTAGCAGGGCGGCGGAGGAACGGGCTTTTCGGGCCGATACATACGCCACTCTGTCGCGCGCGAGGCACTCTAGTTCCTCGCGATAATGCCGCCCTGCTTCCCCGCGTTTCGCGAAAACGTCGACCGGACACCGTACGCGGGTAAGAAGGATCGTGTAACGAAGGCGAAGGGACGATTAGCGCACGACGCAACGTGTCGCGCACCGCCCGCCATTGGCGCGCGCAGGATGGGCCTATGTAAATTACAGTGCGCTGAGTTGAGTGAAATTGTACGTACGAAAAGGCAGCAAGACGGCCCTGGCAGAGCCGCGCCCGGATGCGGCGAGCTCTCTCGCGCGAGCTCACGCCGAGCCGGCGCCGCGCCGCGCCGCGCGAGGAGGAGCGAAGCGCGACGACGGTATAATTGCGACGAAGGAAAAGCGCATCGATGCCATATTACATGCGCAGTGTAAACAACTCCGTTACATCGGCGTAGCAGGAGAATAAACAAGCCGAGGAGGTGGTAGGGCGGGAAATCACGAACCAGAGACACATATTATCGCGAAGCAAGGAGGTAGTGTGTGTTATAACTTTGCTCTCCATCGCGCGGCCTGGCCGTGTATGGCCGACCTGGAGCGAAACTCGCGGATTATCCAAGGCGGATTGGCCAAGCGACACGAGTACGATTCGCGTGAAACGGTGATTAAAGTATCGCCGATCATTTGACGCGCGCGCGCGACATGTCGGGATACACGTCGTCGTGTGTATCGTTTTCTTTTTTATCCATCTGACAGTTTTATCAATTTAATGTCACTGCGATGTTTCATCCGGCGGGACTT